TGTGGCCCTCGAGTCAAAAAGTTTGCCCACCCCTGCTAAACAGTGGTCGGCAAACTCATTAGTCAACAGAGCCAAATATCAACAGTACAACGATTGAAATTTCTTTTGAGAGCCAAATTTTTTAAACTTAAACTATATAGGTAGGTACATTGTTATTAACTTAATTAGGGTACTCCTAAGGCTTAGGAAGAGCCACACTCAAGGGGCCAAAGAGCCGCATGTGGCTCGTGAGCCGCAGTTTGCCGACCACAGCTCTAAGATATTAGTATATGGATTTGACATATTTTAATTCCTAAAGAAATGAGATAATCAATGAATGGAATTATGTCTATTCTTATCCTATACATGGGGAGTTTACTTCTTAAATTTCTGCTTGGAACCATACCCAAAGCAAATCCAACTGCTGTGGGGTGGGAAAAAAGTCTGAATGAACATGGCACTCAAGAATAAAGACTGATGAGTAAACCATCAAAATTACTGACTCAGACCCAGGGATTCTCAAGACATCCTACTAAATATAAAAAAGACCAGTATTTATCCTTGAGACTTTTCCAAAATCAGGACAGAAATAAGAGAACAGAGATGTTAAGTCACAGTCTTAGAAACATCAGCCTAGTTCTTCAAATCAACAGCACAATAGAATGTCAGTGCTTCCTGTGTCAGCCTGGGAGTGTAAATCCCTAGAGTGGCAATTTATTTTTCCATAGTGAGAATGTTCTGGTGGAAAGTATAAAAAGATCCTTCAGGATTTCAAATCCATTGAAATAAAATGGCAATCCTCTCAGACACTACCCTGCTGATAAATTTTTCTTATTCATTTTAAATTAATGAAAAGGCAGAATGTCAAGAGAAACATACAAGTCTGGCTAAAAATATATATACATTTAAAAAATGAACAAGAAAAGAAATGAGACAGACTTCCTATCTTATTCTTGTGGTTGAACTTTTTTAAATCAATGAAATTTTAACACACGTTATGTTTTATCAATAAATGCCATACGTTTAAAATGATTGGACACTGCCACTTTAAAGTATCACAAATTATAATTTGATTTGTGTTGTATTTTTTTTTCTTCCAAGAGCATGATGATAGAACGAACCCCTGGGAAATTCTAATTCTATTATCCTATCATCATTGTTGCCAAGGTTACAGAGGACTGTTGATTCTAGTGTCTGAGATGAAGGTTAAAGCTGGCAGGGAGAGGAAAAATGGGGAGACAGCAAGATACGAAAAAAAACCCCGAGTTAAATTAGAGATCTAGAGATGTTTTTGGCTTTCTGGTGGGATTATAGTCCTGAGTCCACAAATAAACTAGAAAATTATTTAAGAGCACTTGAGGGTTACCAAGAAGAGGCCAAATTTCCCCTAAAGAGAAGGCATGATAGAATCCGAATTGTGAGCTCTGTGGCTGAAAAAGCACGTCATCCCAGAAGCTCAGCCACCTCTCCCAGAGTCCAATTATACATTGTAGAGAGGGCTTTTGTAGATATATAATTTTTGCATCATTTTTTGCAAAGTGAGTTAATGCAGTTTCCAAAGCATTTGGAACTCGATGGTAATTTGAGTGATTTGGCTTAGGTCAGCTCTGCTTGCAAATAGAATATTTTTTTCTGTATGACTATAGAAGTCATATTAGAAGCTAAATAAAAATTATTTAATCACTTATATTGACTGTCCACCATTAGAAGATTTGCACAAAGGGTATCTGAGATAACCCTTGCCCTCAAGGAGTTTGTCATCTTTAAGGAAACAAACTATGATTAAAATTAAATTCATTACAGTTGACATATAATATTATATTCGTTTCAGATGTACACCCCAGTGATTAGAAATATCACTAAGTGATCATCCTGATAAACCTCATACTCCTCTCACACATATTAGAATACTAGAGGCCCAGTGCATGAATTCATGCACCAGTGGGGTCCCTCGGCCTGGCCT